AAAACACTTATTAAAGTTAAAGGAGCTAAATCAATATTTTCCATAATATTCGAAATTGAAAACACAAATTATAATTCAATATTGGTCACTTTCAATCAATGATAATGTTATCTTGCCGTGAAAATATAGGATCCTAATATCCAATATTTAAGACACAATTAACATTTTATAATTAGTACATGAGTCGTGTATTCTATGGTTTCAGGTGCCATTTTGTAATGAACAAATAAAAACTTACCCTACAAGACAATACAGAAGTAATTAGTTAAAGCCTGATTCCCAAACGACAAATAATAAAAAAACATATAGAATGGACTAAGCAGGCATTAACAACTGCCGTTCAATTTGAACTGTTCACATATTTCACCAAACATAATTGATTAGAAATACAATATTTTTTCAAAAATTGAATATAAATCACTTTACATATAGTGTACAAGTGCTTTTGGAACCGTTTTTGTCTCTTTCAAAGTTCCAAAAAATAGAGTCATACGCCCTGAAGTGTGCATTCAATCTCTTGAATAATTCCATCTTCATTATCCCAGTAGGTGCAGAAACAGTGTTAAATCTAATTATGTTTCTTGAATAATTCAAAATCTTTGATATTACGAAACACAGTTGAATACTGATTTCTATAATGTATAGTAATAGTAGCACACTTTATGCTACCTCATATTCAGAATAATCTGCTTAAAATAACCTAAAAATCAATATCAATATATAAACTATTTGTAGGAAACTTATATTCAATGATTGATATTCAAAAATTTGAATAAAAAAAGGTATACCTTTGTGGTTTTTGGACTTTTTTTAAAAAGATTTTGACGTTAATTTTAATGGGGAATGAAATATGCTTAGAAATCTGTGATAACCTTAGCCTTGAGCTAATGTAAAAACTCTTAATTTATCTGAGACATCGAGTGTCATAAGTCATGACATCTAGGTGATCAATATTATTATTAACAACTGTATATAGATAATGTTTGTTTAAACTTGTTTTACTATGGCTTTTAGTGTTAGTTAGGTATAATACAGATTTAACTCGAGTTAAAACTTGTAGGTTAAGTCCTATTAGGTATGTATTTGATATAGATCATAGTATATAATGAGGTCTTGATTCTGTAAGAATAAGAATGACATACACATCGTACAAGATCTCCAGAACCATTTAGTATTTCTTTATTTATAAGCTTACAATTACATACATGTACATCATTTTTCATGAATGCTATTCAGAAGACATTTTTATCACAGGAACCTATATAAAGAAATTCTGTAAACATATCCATGTGCATCTATTGTATTCCTATTTTGAATTGTTTCTATTGTGAAAATCAAACTTTGCTTGGAATGATAAAATTGATGAGAATTTATGCATTAAACGGTTTATTCCATTTGTTGATACTCTATCCTGCTAGCACTTTTGTGACGAAGCCATTTGGCCACTATGATTGTTCATTGTACAAATACCGGTAATAGAAATAATAGGTGAAGACTGAGGAACTGAACTACATGTATCAAGAATTTTACTTATCTAGGATTGTAAGGCCTGTTATGTTTAGATTCTATCCAATTCTTGTTTTCATGGTTTTTCATTGTATACTGTTGTTTTCATCTGTCTCTAAAGAACTCCTGCGCATAAGTGAATTATTTAAATATTTTAAAATATGCAATATGTTTCTCCCAAAATAACGTGATTATTGTGGAGTTGGTGGACGTTAAACTCTCTTTCTCACTCAGTTTCAGTTTTATAGAAATATTGGTCAGATTCAATTGTAATGCACATCCAGAAACAAAATTGCTATGTGTTACAATTGTAAAAAATTTGTCCATGGATTGTGTTTGTGTGTTTTTTGTGTGTTTGTTTGTATTCTCAGGTTAACAACACTGCATTTATTGGCACAGTTAATACAAAAAAACAAGTTGGACTGGTTATAACACCATTTCAAGCTCAACTATCACTATAATTCTCCTCTATTTCAATAGAGTTCCTCACTTTTGGCATTGTGATGCAAGCTTTTATAAAATGTATAGAAAAACTGAAAATATTTTGACTGCCATTCAGGATCACTGCACACTTTGAAAAAGAAGATTAATATTTATAGATATAATCTATTATGACTTTCATTCACATTGTTTGGATCAGTGTTAAATGAATTTGAGTCTATGGTTTCAAAATGTTGTTCCATTTATCATTATACAGTAATAAGTCAAAATTATGTCTTTCATTCATTGTAGAACAGACAAGAGTGGCAGATCCTTCTTATGTCTCAGAAGTCAATTTTTATATGCCCACATGGAAATGTGGTTGTATATTATTGTCGGTCCGTTGTCCACACTTTCTTGTGAACAATATACAGACTACATTTATCATCTGATAGTTTTGAAATTGATGTATGTTGTTTACATTACTGAGATAAAGAAGCCTATTTAATTTCAATAATTTATGTTAATTTCTTCTGGAGTTATGGCTCTTGTTTCACTTTATTGCACCTTGTGAACTCTCTAACGACAAAAATGGTCATTCGATCTATATGAAATTTATATGCATCCTTTAAATTAGTGTAACGAAGAAGCCTATGGAATTTCAGCAATTGCCGTTAAGTCTAGAGTTATGGCCCTTGTTTTACTTTGTTGAGCCTTGTGAACGCTCTAACGAAAAAAAATTATCATCCGATCGGTATGAAATTTATATGCATTATTTAAATTAGTGAAACGAATAAGTTTATTGAATTTCAGCAATTTCTGTTAAATGCTTCTAGAGTTATGGTCCTTGTTTCATTTTGTTGAACCTTGTGAATGCTCTAATGACAAAAGTTATCATTTGAACTGGATGAAATTTATATGCATGATTTCAGTTAGTGAAGCGAAGAAATCTATTGAATTTCAGCAATTTCCGTCAATTGCTTCTAGAGTTATGGCCCTTGTTTTACTTTGTTGAGCATTGTGAACAATCGAATGACAAAAGTCATCATCCGATCTGTATGAAATTTATATGCATTATTTAAATTAGTAAAACGAAAAAGGCTGTCGAATTGCAACAATTTTTGTATATTACTTCCAGAGTTAAGACTCTTGTTTCAGTTTGTAGCACCTTGTGAACCCTCAAATCTGATCTGTATGAAATTGTCTTGTAAATTCCCCCCATTACCTACAAAAGATTAAATATGCGACAACCCTTGTTGACCGCTCGGACGATTTAACTGCTGTGGGTGTGTGTTTCGTTGCCTGGCAACCTATCTTATATTTAGTGTAAAGACATTGTATTAGGCATTTTCCCAAAGTCTAGCAAAACCTTACTACATTATGCTGTAACCACAGAATCGGTGTCCAGCGTGGAAATTGACAGTTTAAACACATTTTTTTCAGATTTAACATAGAAAATTTTACCTACAGTACTTTAAACTAACACAATGATAGAAACAACTGATGAAAACTAGGCTGTGATTGGTAAAAAATATGTAATTAGCTAATCTGGCAAGTCCTAAGATTCAATAAATTGGTAGGGTAGTATTACTTTCTAAAGTAGTAAAATATTAATAGTTAAATAGTATCCTGTCACAGGAGGATAGGTGGTGCTTGATTCATGTTGTGTTTTTCGGGATCATATATTTTTTATCAGTATCAATTTATTTATTGTAATAGTTTATAATACAAAAAATGAATCATGAACTAATGTACAAAAAGGACTGATCTTAAAACATTATCGTATGATATAGCGAATTTTCTCACCATTTTACTTGGGATAATACAGTATGTAACTGTGATAATTGATAGATATAGTTGTTCACTACAACTACTACAACTTACTTCTATTCAATTTGCTCACTCAGCCTTACATACGATTTAAAACCCGTGGGGGGGAATATACTCTTCCATAATAAATACAACAAAATTATCGTCTTCTATTTTCCCCTTCTCTTTTACAAATCAATCAGGTGTATCGAGGAGCTTTAGTATAAACAATCTTCAAGGATATAAGTGGTGATCTGCTAATAACGTATATTATTATGGTTGTTATAAGAGAGGTAGTGAGAATAATGTTGATAGTTAAGGTTAATATTAATGACCCGGGTGTATCAATAGTAGTTGGATTATAAGTTTTATGTAGGAGGAGGATGATTCATTAGGGAATATAGTATGATGAACCTTTTTTATATTTTTCATAATCTTCACACCCTGTCAATCTTGTGTCAGTTTATTGTTTCAACTTCTCTAGTATATTTTCCATCGGTAATTAAATATTGATTTGTATTGTAAATAGTTAGGCACATATTGATACTATCAAGATTGTTAGTATCCTACATTTGATGTAAGTCTGTCATGTGAACTGGTAGTATAATTTATGAGATGAAGGTATGGCATAAAAAAACCTTATTTTTGACAGTTTATTTTGACATTTCCTTCTTTGTTTTAAAAATTTCCTGAAATTAACATGTAGAATATAGGTGCATAGGTTAAAAATGGGAAATGGAGTAAGACAGATTTCTGAAGAAAAGCAACATGATTTACTTTCATGTACAAAAAGATATCGTATATTATTTGAATGTTGACATGGAAAAGAGAAAAATATCTTCAAACAAATAAATGATCTGGTAGCAAGAAGCTGACACTTTATCCCATTTGTCAGTTAAAAAAAAAGTTGTGTAAATAATTGAACATATATTCATTGGTAATACTTATTTTGATCTAACTCTATTTACGTATTGTTTAATGGTCGAGAGCGAGACATTAAGTAATATATTGTAACAACAAGAGGGCCGTAGGCCCGAGTGGTTTTACAATATATTACACAATGTCTTAAGCTCGAGACCCTTAAATGACTTAAAATACAGACACTCCGCATGTGCTTTTACAGTGAAATACGTCACGTGAGTCCAATATTTCACTAGTATAAATAATGTACCATTGACAAGTTGCCCGTACGATTATTTGAAATAATAGTACGCCAACATCAAAGGGTGACGTCACATCTGTATTTTAATAATGTATATTTTCAGAAGTAGATGATGATGACAAACCATCTCAAGCCTTACAGTTAGGATTTGAATTAGCATTAAAAGATAGAGATGCTGTATTAAGGGAAAAGGCTAAAGCTACAGAAGAGAGAGATAATGCCATACGACAGTTACAGCAAGTCAAATCAGAACGAGATCAAGCCATTACTAGTTTAGAAAATCTAACAGGAAAACCAGCAAAACTTAGTAACACGTAAGTTTAGTGTTTGAAAAAATAAGATTAAATTTGTACTTATCATCCTACACACAACAAACTTAATCTGATTGTATGCCAAGGATGATAAGTACAAATTTTATTTGATCTTTAGTCTAGGGCCTCTTTTAAAATTATTAGAGCAAACAAAATGAATTGGTAAACTATAAAAGAGTTGTTTCCCTTGAGTAATTTATGTCTGTTGAAACAGTAGTCCTGAGAGAAATAAAATATATTTTTGCAAGAGGACACTTTGGAACATTATATATCTGGCATTTTAAATTTATTTGGTAATATAAATACGATTATATATTTTTAGGAAAAGATTTGAAGATAGTCCAATCCTTGGTGCGAGATCGGGTTCACCAAATCACAAAAACCGAGTTATGGAAAGTGATGGAGAAGTTGAAGAGGTAAACAATCATTTTCTGTTCTTATTTATCAGGGTTTAATATTAAACTGCATATATGAAAAATGTGCCTATTAATATTTTCTTCTTGACGAAAAACCAGATTAGAATATTAGATCAGCTAGTATTTAGTTTTCTCCATGTTGAATTATGGAGGTTTAGTGTTACTTACTGTTAGTACTATACAGTTTTAAATGCCAATTTTAAATACTAACTTACCTGTTTCTAATGATTAAAATTATGTTCATCTGTGATTTTGATGCTTGATTATTGTTGTATATTCCGGGGGTTGGATGGCCGAATGGTTAGCATGTGCGTGCTGTATCATAAAGCCTGTCATTGAGTCAACTGGCGTGGTTTCGAATCCCCGGTTGTACGTGACAAGGAGTAGGGTCGCCTGTCCAGCCTCGTGGGTTTTCTCTGGGTCCTCTGGTTTCCTCCCACTGCTAAAGACCCCTACGCGCAAGCAAATTATTGAAATAAAATTAAACCCCATGTTAGTCCTGAAATGACCTAGTTTGTGTCGAGTGGACGTTAAACCCCATTTCTCCCTCTCTCATTGTTGTATATTCAAATATTTTAATATTTAGCGTCTTGCATATTAATATTCTAGTACCAAGTCTAGCTAAGTCGATTTATTAAATAGTTTATAACAGCATCGTTTAACTATACCTTACCATAATTTGAAAAACTGAGTTCTACACCATTGTTTTTTTTTTATTAGGGTTTCAGCCAAACTTGTGGGAACCTATTGTAACTCATTTTTATTTTATTTCATTCTTCTTCTCTTTTTCTAATGCCAACCTTATCTCAACAACTAACAAAGGATTGCTGTGGGCATAAACTGGTGTTTTGGCCGTAATGTCCTATTTTTATTTTTCTGTCCCAGCCATTATTGGATTTTGTGAATTTGCAAAAACTGGTTCTGCTTTGAAAACAAAAAAAGAGATATTTCTACAGTGCATACTTTTAGACTTGTCATTAGGTGGAGATAATATTCGAAAAGCTAGAAAATGAAAATTGTTAGGGTTGGAATGATCAGATTTCACAGTTGAACAAAAATATAGCTCAAGTATTTTTCAAAAATCTTCTTCATAAAAACTATTTATGGCCAGAATATTATTTGCTTGAAGACATCCATCCATTACAATATTTAGATAACTTCAGAAGCACATTCTGTGAGCTAGAACCTCCTGGTTGGTGCATCTTGTAGCTTTACTTTCATGTCCGGAATATACAGGTGAAATCCCATCACTGGTCAAGCGGTCACATATATTTTAGAACAAGACAATTTGAAAATAAAGAACAAAATGTTGGTAAAATTTTGATTTTCCATTTGTTTTCTTATATAAATCAAGTATAATATGATGACTTTATATTTTAAGTTATATTGTGTTACACCCAGTAGTAAGGTAAGATTTCATTCTACAGCTGGTTATTGGTGTTGTTTGTTTAAAAGGAAAGCTTGCTGGGTTTTTATACGCGTTTTGAGCTTGTGGTCCCTATAGAGGTCAATATATCACAGTTATACACTAATGATGGTTGAGTTTGAATTTCATGAAAATCAGAAAATACTGACGGACAGAATGGCCGCCTTTTGTACGCAAATAGTGTACAAATATGGTATATCAAGGTTGTGGGCCCTCTAGATGCCACAGTTTCTATCCGATTTGGATGAAACTTTAAACATACATTATGCAAGAGCTAAATCTGCCTATTGCAGGGTTTTCTTTAGGCCTGAAATGTTATCTAAATTATTAATTAGACATTAATTAACTTATCCAGATCATAATCATCTCTCGATGGCATTGCTACCCTGCGATGTTTATTGGATTAGGTTTTGACTTGCTGTTCGACTTCCATTCATAATTAAATCATGAAATGGATAATCGAGACGATGTTTTTTATCCTACCGACTTTAGTAATGATTATCGAGTCTAGGCCGAAAATTCAATCGCTAAAATCTCGGTTCATAGTGGATCAATTTGACTGAAATTTTCAGCAATTTCCCTTTACAGTATCTAGTTTTTAACTATTATAGTGAGAACTACCAGCTCTTTATCTAATCTTCCATAATATATGTTTTTATCATAAAGATCTTGGTTCCTTTTGATAATCACACATATCCAAACGTAACTTTTTGGAATATGTCCCCTGATTGGTTGAAAAATCACAGTTAGCTTGTGGATTCTCTAGAAGTTACAATTTTTTTTCCGATTTTAAAAACCATTTAGATATATCACCATTCCACCAGAATGAAGGTTGAATTGGAATTTCGGGAAAATCGAAATGAAACTGCCCGACAAAATGGCCATTCTTTGTACGCAAATTGTGTATAAGTACATAATACAAAGGTTATGGGCCCTCTAGAGGTCACAGTTTTTATCCGAATTTGATAAAGCTTAAAAGATATCTTTATATTCCAAAAATGTCAGTTTCTTGTCATATTTGAGCATTTCAGACCATAACTTTCTGGATTATGGTCCCGGATATTGTTCAAAAAATCATTTAAAGTTTTTAGCTTGTTCTCTATCCTTCTCTTGCAAAATGTGGGCGTAGCCTGCCTGGCAGCCGCTGGTTTATTTAGTTATGTTATAAGAGCACAGCTTTTATTGCAAGTATTACTTTACGTGTTAAGCTTCTTTACATATTTCATAAAATTTTTGAAATTGAATTTTTGAATAATAACGTTTTATTTTATGGCTAAAGTTACATTGTGGTAAAACTTTCCATATGGACGTATATTGTTATCGTCCTGTCCGTCTGTCCACAATTTGTTTGTGGACAGTATACAGGTCACAATTTTTATCCAATTTTGATGAAACGTGAAATGTATGTTTATTATAACCCAAAAATCTTGATTCTTTTTGATATTCGCACATATCAGATCGTAACTTCCAGGATTATGGCTCTTGATTGTCCGAAAGTCATGTTTTTTAGATTGTGGATCTTCTAGAGGTCACAATTTTTATCTGATTTGTAACAAAAGATGATAGTATTAACTTCAAATACTATTTCAGTATTTATATGTTAGTAAGACTTGATACAAACTGTAAGTGTAAATGTATAGTCAACTGGAATATTACCGTGCATGATATTGCATGCTTTTTATACCCACAAGATTTTTCACCACATTCTGCCCCTGAGCGTGTATATTTGTTGTCATCTTATATATTATATTTTGGGGAATATATAATGTATTATTTTATGAAATACATTAAGCTTAAGCTTTAATGTGTCATGTTGTTGGTGAATGGCTTGGTTATTAGTTTTGACCTGAGTTGATATTTTTGTTTTCGCATTAAAGTAGCTAAGTCTCTAACTCAATATCATCCAAATTCTTACACATTGAAAACATGAATTATTTGTGAATTCAAATCAACCTTGATGTTGTGATCTTACTGGGAAACAGTAGGCTTCTGATATCAATTTTTAAGACAAAATAAACATTTTACCATTGGTACACGAATCGTGTACCATAGTGCGTTTCAGCGTCATTTGTAACAAGTGACCAGAAAGAACGAGGCTAGACATATTCCACAACTCCTGGCAAACGTTGACGCCATATCTCATCTGGAGAGCATGCGCAATAGACTGGAATAACCAGACGCTAGAAATTGTCATTCGGTTGCTCAGACTCGTGCCGTATTTCTCTTGACATAACCGATTTGAAATTAGAGTCAAAACGGAAACAATTGAATGTAAATCAGTTTATATACAATCAGATTACATTATTATATGCGTTGCGACCCATTAGGGTCAATTTCGAGGTCCCAAATATTAGCGATTTAGCTCCTTTAAATATTTTTATAATGTGGTGTCTTTTATTTCATAAAATGTGTCCAAAAGCAAGATTCCATGATGGTAGTGGAAGCTAGACCATAATCCATAATGTATATATATATATATATATGGTTCATGTATTGTATTGTGCCTCTTAATTTAACTTTTGTGTTTGTAAAGTCTTGTTCTTGTTTTTACTGATGTAATAAGATTTAATATATTCAGGTCTGACCTTTGTTTAATATATATTCAACATTTTGAAAGTCAAATAGGTAATTTATATATCTTATGACACTTTATGGAATTTGCATTTTACAATGTGTGTTTTTATCATAAATTATCTTAGTGAAGGACATATTTCAACTGGTATTGTAATCTGAGATCTTACTTTTATTACAGTTTCATCTTTAATTTTATCTATATTTAGTGCAGAGACTGTTTTAACAACAGGGTATTTCTGTGTATCAAGTAAATGTTATCAAGGATATATTTTGGGTTGCATTGATTCATTAGTTATTTTGAATTAACGATATTGAAGAAAGTTTATCTTTCATTTTTTGGTGTCATATCAGTATTATTGATAGAGTACATTTTATTTGATACTAGCAAGAAATCTGGCTTTGCCCAGGGCCCAATTCGATGGCCTATAACATTTATGGGGCCATGTTGGTTAATTTGATACACATATGTGTAGGTGGAGCGCAGCGATGAAGTGTGATGGGCGAACATTCATACATACACACAGATATCTTTGGTTTTATTTATGTAAATTATTTCTAAAAGTAGTCTATAAAAAATGACGTCACATTCTTCCTATTTCCAGTACGCATGTTCTGACTTATGTCAGTCCTATATTTAATAACAAATATTTACTAAAAATCTGTTAAACAGGTATTATGCAAGAGCTAAATCTGCCTATCACAGGTCTTTCTTTAGGCCTGAAATGTTATAAATTATTAATTAGACATTAATTAACTTGCCAAGACCATAATCAACTCTCGATGCCACCGGATGGCTGTGATATAATTACATACGGTTACAGTAAAAATAGATAATCAAGACTTTGTTTATTATCGTATCAACGGTAGTTATGACAATCGAGGTTAGACTCTAATTGTATCACGAATATCTAGGCTTAGACTGAAGTAATTCTCTTTTCATTACCTTTTTTAAACTATTATAGCAAGAACTGTGAGCTCTTTATCTAATCTTACCTAATGCCGCTTTAATAAAACTATTTAGAATGACAAACACTTTTCAAAAAAATGTTATGATTTGAGAGGAATAAACAAACAACATTTTTTCCTTTTTTTACACTCAATTCATGAAAATGTGCCCTTTCTCAATTGGTCCCTCATACAAGAAATTCTGGACCAGTTCCCTTTAAAGATACATTCCCGCGTCCAAACTTTGTGATTTGATGATATATTTGGACTAAAAACATATTCAAAATAAACAATCTATCAAAAATTTGCTTCAATTCCGTCTCAAAACTTTGTATTCGCCGGGGATACCTATAGCTATAAGTAAGCTGTTGTTAGACGCAATGTCTGTCAACTTAGCTTCATTGTGGGAGGGTTCATTTTTAAACGCCCACATTGAAATGTGGTTGTATATTGTCGTCGCCCCTGTCCGTCGGTCCGGCGTCCACAATACCCGATTGACTTTAAATTTATACAAAGTGTTTAAGGTCATGAGACGAAGAAGCCTATTGATTTTCAGCGATTTCTGATAATTACTGCCAGAGTTATGGCCCTTGATCACTTCAAAATATCTTGTGGACGCTCTAGAGGCCATAGTTAATATCCGATTGACTTTAAATTTATACACTGTGTTTAAGGTCATGAGACGAAGAAGCCTATTGATTTTCAGCGATTTCCGATAATTACTGCCAGAGTTATGGCCCTTGATCACTTCAAAAAATCTTGTGGATGCTCTAGAGGCCAAAGTTAATATCCGATTGACTTTAAATTTATACACAGTGTTTAAGGTCATGAGACGAAGAAGCCTATTGATTTTCAGCGATTTCTGATAATTACTGCCAGAGTTATGGCCCTTGATCACTTCAAAATATCTTGTGGACGCTCTAGAGGCCAAAGTTAATGTCCGATTGACTTTAAATTTATACACTGTGTTTAAGGTCATGAGACGAAGAAGCCTATTGATTTTCAGCCATTTTCGATAATTACTGCCAGAGTTATGGCCCTTGATCACTTCAAAAAATCTTGTAAATGCTCTAGAGGCTCAAGTTAATATCCGATTGACTTTAAATTTATACACAGTGTTAAAGGTCATTAGACGAAGAAGCCTATTGATTTTCAGCGATTTCCGATAATTACTGCCAGAGTTATGACCCTTGATCACTTTGAAAAATCTTGTGGACGCTCTAGAGGCTAAAGTTAATATCCGATTGAGTTTAAATTTAAGGTCATGAGACGAAGAAGTTTATTCATTTACAGCGATTTTCGATAATTACTGCCAGAGTTATGGCCCTTGATCACTTCAAAAAATCTTGTAAATGCTCTAGAGACTAAAGTTAATATCCGATTGACTTTAAATTGATACAGAGTGTTTGAGGTCATGAGACGAAGAATCGTATTGATTTTCAACGATTTCCGATAATTACTGC